TTTTTTTCCAATTTTTGCTATCAGAGCATAAAAAATATATTTGTGCTCAAAATTTTGCCTTTAGGATTACTTCCTTAGGACATATGCTCCAGAATTATGCTTTATTGATGTGCAGGGAACAAACATTATATAATGAGCCCTACTTATGAGTGGGTCCTCTATCAGTGGATTCAGTCACTTGCAGATCAAAAATATTTGGGAAAAGATTGCTTTGCACAGTGCATGTACAAACTTTTTTCCTTGTCATTATGGCTTTAACAATACAGCATAACAACTATTTACATAGCCTTTGCATTACATTAGGTATTATGGGTGATCTAGAGATGATTTAAAGGATACAGGAGGATGAGTGAAGGTTATATGCAAATATTTCATCATTTTATATAAGGGATTTGGGCATCTGTGATTTTTGGTGTCTTCTAGGGGGGGGGCCTGGAACCAATCTCCCATAGATGCCAGAAATGATTATACTTCCTAGATGTCTTTTTGAAAGTATAACAGTTTTAGTATTTTCTAAATTAGGTGTCTACCTAATTGTTTAAAAATTCTGTGGTTACCAAGAACCCCCAAATATTAAGTTCTGAGCCATGTGTTTGGGTATATCTTTATCATCTATCATAAATTTATGTCTTTAGGTGTTAAATATTTATTTAAAACCCTATTAAAACTTTTCAAAAATTGGGTTGAATTCCTTGTTTCTTACATACAACATGATCACCACAAATACACTGATCACAATATTTTGTGATCAGTGTATTTGTGGTGGGCACATAAACAAGGTGAAAGCCTCCATGATTCTACTTTGTGGACATGCCCACTTAGCATGGGTACTTAAAAAACTTGTAGACTCTTAACCTAGCTTGGAGAGTACAACCTACACCTGAAGCAGGGGCCTCTCTAATCATGTTGGTGACCACCATGTCAGGAGGCATGAAAACACCCACACTGTCCCCATTTTCCTCTCATGCAAGGCCCAGCACTTACCCAAAGTCTCCTGCCTGCATTATTCTTTCTGCTTGGAAGACCTTTTTCCTTTGATCGCTGTCTTTTAGACAACTGCTCATTCTTCCAAACTAAGCTCGCACAAACCAGTATGTCCAGTGTGAGCCGTCATTTATTCAGTTGATTATATGTCTTTATTTACAATGGTGTTAAGGTCCTGCAGAAATGGAATCGGTAAGAGACATACACACGTGCACAGCCAGGCATTGAATAACAGTGGAGATAATATCCTGAGAAATGTGTTGATGGGGTTTTGACCTATAACACCCTGGAGTGCACTTATACAGGCTGAGCGGCCCATGATGTTACTTTATGATAAGATCTTACAGAGCTACCATCTTCTATGTGATTCATCAATGAATAGAATGCTATGAAATTTATGACTGTGTATGTGTGTGTGTGTGTGTGTATCTATACATACACATAGATGTATATCTCACAGAATGCAAGCACATGCATTCAATTTAGTATATGAATTGGTATTAAGGATGTGCAGCTTATCCATCCAGAAACAACCCTGAGACACCCAAAGTGGGGTGCAGCCAAGCATCTGGGCATGCCACGGCTCAGTCAAGGTGACTCAGGCAATTAGCCATCATGACAATCACCGTTTAAACACACTAAAAAGCAGGACGTTCTGCCTGTGCCTCGCTGATTTGAGATGTGCTTTTCCCCACTAGGTTGCAAGTCGTCGTTTCCTCCTTGAAATCCCATAAAGCTCCATGTGCATGCACTGAAAAAAGGTATTTTTTTTAAAAATTATTTTAGTTGTCTATGGACACAATACCTTTATTTTGTTTATTTATTTTTATGTGGTACTGAGGATCAAACCCAGTGCCTCACACATGCCAGGCAATCGCTCTACCACTGAATTACAACACCAGCCTGAAAAAAGGTTGTTGAATAAAATCATGATTCTTGAGATTCAAATAGATGCCATAATAGTGACTGTTGTTTTATTCCTTTCATACAATGATTTGTCCTTTCCTTTCAAGGTATATCTCCATGAATAACTTAAATGATCCTCCAAATTGGAATATCCGGCCTGATTCCAGGGCTGATGGGGGTGGTGGAAGCAGGTGGAATTATGCCCTGTTGGTGCCAATGCTGGGATTGGCAGCTTTCCGTAAGTTGTGGTTTTTCTGATGTTTGTGTTTTCTGGGCTGAAAGCATGGAGTGGTATCTTAAGACCTAGCTTTGGGACCTGACAGGTGCAGCCCAATTTCATCCCCTTCTGTGACTTCTGGGCAAGTTACTTAATTCTTCTAAGCCTCAGTTTACCTGACCCTGGGAGGTGGCAGTCACAATCAGCTCAACACATGAAATGAGAGTAAGATCAATGTTTAGAAATGTTTTGTGTGGGCTGGTTTAATAACTGGTTTCATGGCAGTGACTCCTTGCTTTTGTGTCCTAGTCAAGACTGATAGGGAAGAACAGGCCTGGAGGAAAACAAGTTTGATGTGTGCTTCGTGTTTGGAAGTCAGCCCAGAGACTTGGCCTGTGTAAGTTCTGCTCAGCATAGCCAAAAGCCCTGTATGTAGTTTGAGTTGACTGGGCACCACTAGATACTCACCCCCAGATGTGAGAAACTGATAAAGAATGGAAGAAAAAAGCCAGGTGTGGTGACGTATACCTGTAATCATAGCAGTTTGGGAGGCTGAGGCAGGAGAATCCCAAGTTCATGCCAGCCTCAGCAATTTAGCAGGGACCTAAGCAATTTAGCAAGACCCTGTCTCTAAATAAAAATATAAGAAGGGGCTGAGGATGTGGCTCAGTGGTTAAGCGCCCCAGGATTTAATCCCTGGTACCAAATAAATAAGTTAATTAATGTTAAAAAAAAAAAAAAAAGAAAAGAATGGAAGAAAAGCAAAAGCCGCCCTCTGTGCATATGGACTTTTGTACACAGTGACTTTTTTGTGCTTGAATTTTCCATGTCAGCAGGTGTGTAGTGCGGGAGATAAGGCTGGCAGGAGCAGGTGGAATTCACAGTTCAGGGATCTGAGTGGTACCTGCTGGTGCTCCAGCTACAGCCCTGAGGATTCTATATTGAAGGCTCACTCAACTTGGTCTTACAGGGCAGTGCCAGCATTGCTAAAGGCTACTGTTGCTGAGGCTGGGGTGGTGAACTTCCACTCAGAGAGTGGCCTGGGTGGCTTGAAATGATGCTTATTGATGTCATCTTTTTTGGCTTTGAGGCTGGGAGAGGCCCTTTGATTTTCTAATACTCATCTGTGACTTTTATAGCCACTCATGTTAACTTTCAGATTCTTATCTTCTCTTCTTGGGCCTTTGAAATGATGTTTTCTGTAGTTCAGGAATGTTTTATTTTTCCTCATGGTTATCTTGCTTAGGTAATGTATTCAAGGATAACATTTAGTTTTACATTCTTATATAAAGATTCTTCAAAATCGATTCTGTGTTTGAGAAGCTGTGTTGCAACTTTGAGTGTTAACGAGCCCCTGGCATGGTTTGGAAGGAAAGGCAGATGGATGAATGCTGTATGGGATCAATGCTGTTGATGAATTGATGAGATGCTGGATTTATCCTGATCATTTAAACTGCATTATGTGTACAAGCGAGATGCTGAGAATTGAACCCAGAGGCACTTTACCACTGAGCTGCGTCCCCAGCTTTTTTTATTTTATTTTGAGTCAGAGTCTCACTGAGTTGCCCAGGCTGGCGTTGAACATAGGATCCTCTTGCTTCCGCCTCCTGAGTAGCTGGGATTATAGGTGTGTACCATCATGCCCAGCTACACCTTTGTGACTTTGAACACAGCATAGAGACTAGTATAATTATGTCCACATGAAAGATTAGTCCCTGGCCACATTCTTCTCTGGGTAACTGCCCTGGAAGAGTGTCCAGCATTTCATGGGCAAGACAGCGCCTCCTGTCAGCCTCGGTGGCCACACCTCCTATAACCCCGTAATCACTCCGTCCAGATGTTGCCTAAGTAGTACCGTATAGTGTGTGGCCTCTTTGGCTGGTGTTTTCACCCAGTGTGGTCCTTCAGGCCTATACGGGCTGTTGCCACCTCTGTAGCCAGTGGATCACTCAGTGCTGAGCAGGGTCCCTGATGTGGGTGCGCCACAGTTCAGTTGACCATCCACCAGCAAGACTGCTGTGTTCTAGTTTGGGCTGTGATGAATAAAGCTACTACCAACATTCTTTTACAGGTTTTTATGTGAACATAAGTTCCATTTCTTCAGGATGAACGTCCAGAAGTGCAGTTGCTGGGTTTCATGGCAGTTGCATGTGAAGTGTTCTAAGAAAGTGCCACATTGTTTTCCAAAGTGGCTGTGCTGTTAACGTCATGTCCTCAGCAATGATGCACAAGTGGTCCAGGATCCCGCCACACAAGTGTTCATATTTCATGTTCTTACAGGTGTGGAAGCATCTCAAGTGTTTTCACTGTGCTTCCCCTGGCAGCTGGTGAGATTGACCATGTTTTCACACGCATCGGGGTGTGTCTTCTGTGAAATATCTGTTCATGTCTTTGGCCGTTCACTAGTTGGGTTGTTTTTAAATGTTGAATTTTGGGAGTTTTTAGTATGTCCTACATTCAAGCCCTTTTCTAGATTTGTGGTTTACAGATATCTTCATCTAATCTAGTTAGTCCTTTTATTCTCCTAACAGTCTTGACAGAGCAAAGGTTTAATTCTCAAAAACAAGTTTAACATGCTTTTTTCTGTGCAGATCTAAGAGATCTCTGCCTGTCCTGATCCTGAAGATCCTCTTCTGTGTTTCTTCTGAAGTTTTTTTTTTTTCGGGGGGTGGGGTTCTTTCACATGGTGCACTGTGAGTCCTGGTTGGTCTCCTCCTTGCCATTTCTCTGCCTTTGTCTTGCCTTCTGGTGCCTGGAGCAGACTGTGGGTGGTCTTTGGGCTTCAGGGAAAGCACCGTTTCACCACTGGTGGTGGTGTTTGTGGGTTTTTGTAGCCACCCTTCATTAAGTCAAGAATGTTCCCACCTTGGGTCTGGGGTTGTGGCTCAGGGGTAGAGCCTGGTATGTGTGAGGACTGGGTTTGATCCTCAGCACCACATAAAAATACATAAAATAGTGGTATTGTGTCCATCTACAATGCAAAAAAAAAAAAGATTAAAAAAAAGATTGTTCCCCTCTGTTTCTGTTTTTCATGAATAGGTATTGAATTTTGTTAATTTTTTTTAATTTTTATCAGTTGTAGGGTTGTGTGATTATACCTCTGTAACCTGTTAATGTGTTGGATTACTTCTAGTGACTTTCTCATATTGATCTAGTCTTTCATCTCTGGAGCAATCCCCCCTTGGTCATGCTGTATATTTCTTTTTACAAATTGTAGAATTGTACTTGCTAATGTTAAGGACTTTTGTGTCTGTGTTCCTAAGGAAAATACTGAACTTTGGGAGGTTCTCTCTCTTCTCTTCAACTGTTGTGCTATTTTTAAAAAAAAAAAAATTAGTTGTTGTATTTTTCTTCTAAAATTTCCATTTGTTTGCTCTGTATATCTTCTGTTTCTTAGACTTTATTCTGATGATGCTTTAAAGTGTTTGTCCGATGACACTGACGTCTCCATCCTGGCAGTGATGGGCATCTGTTGATTATTTTTTCATTCAGCTTTAGATATCTCTACACCTTGGTGAGATGAGTGACTTCATTTGAAACCCCAGAAGTTTGGTATTGTGCCATGAGGCTGTGGATTTTACATTGACCTGTCTTAGCCTTGCTCTTGCAGGGAATGGGAGGCTGCCTCTGTATTGCTGGCCACAGGCCCTGTGGACCCCTGGGGCCCATTGTCTGGGAGTGGCTCCCAGCTCCTGCTCTACCTAGCCTTGGACTGTGGGTGGGATAGATCCAGGTGTGCATTTGAGAAGATGGTTTTAACTTTTATGCTTATAGAATTGAGGTGCAACAGCACAGCCAAGTAAGAATGGCTTTCAGGTATATGGAAATAATGCCAGTTCTTTCATGGAGTAGGTCCTGCAGCGTGATCACTGATGTCATGGAGAAAGAATCAGATGGCACAGGCACCTTTTATTTATTTTATTCGTCTTTTTATTCTCCTAACAGGCCTGTGATCTCAGCCACTTGGAGACTGAAGCAGGAGGATCACAAAAGTTCAAGGCCAGCCTCAACAACTTAGCAAGACCCTGTCTCAAAATAAAAAGGCTGGGGATGTAGTGCAGTGGTAGAACACCCTTGGGTTCAATCTCCAGTCCAAAAAAGAAAATTGAATGGCAAGAATACCAGCTGGAAGGGGCAGCTGCAAAAGTGGGGCAGGACCAGGAAAGTTGGTAGAAACCCTGGTGTTGCAGGGAGTTAAAGCAGGGGCAGGGGAAGAACAGAACTTGTGAGAGCCAGAACTCCTGCTTTTGGTGGCTTTGGGCCTTGGGATTTGAACATGTGTGGGACATTCCTTTTGTTTTCCAAAGACTCAAGTCCATGCTGGCCCGTTTTTTTTTAAACTTTTTAAAATTTTTATTTTTGATACTGGGGATTGAACCCAGGGGTGTTTTACCACCAAGCAACATCCCAGTCCTTTTTTTTTTTTTTTTTTAGTCAGAGTATGCTAAATTACTTAGGTCCTCACTAAATTGCTGAGGACAGCCTTGAACTTGCAATCCTCCTGCCTCAGCCTCCCAATGGCTGGGATCACAGGTATGGCCTCCATGCCCTTCTCCTCCACACTGCTTTTTGGAGCTACAGCTGAACATATCATTTTGAAAAGCTAGAAATTAGCATATCATTGTCCAGCATTTGTGAAATGATCAGCACCAGTGTTTGCTCAGGAGGTGGTGGGCATCCTGTGCCACCACCCTGCCTCGCCTCATTATCCACATGACAAACTCCTCTTGTGAGTGGGATGGGAAACAAGCTGGGGACTCCATTCAGACCTGAGGCCCCTGCCCACTGGCAGTTGCTGTGGCCACCAGGTCCTGGGCCTTCCTCCTTCCTGTAGCAGAGAATGGAAGCCAGCTTTTCCACAGTGTGAGGTAGTGCAGTCAGTGCCCAGCCTGGCCTCCCCACTCTCCTAGGCCCACGTTTGTGAGTCCAGTGGCTCTGACATGGAGATAAAGGCCAGAGCATGTCTTGAGGTTGACATCCTTGCTGTGTGTCTGATAGAACGTAAGCAAATGCCTTGGATATAAGCTGTTCACCAGTGATGCCTGGGCAGAGCTGACACAACTGTTTCGTGGCATACTGGGGATTGAACCCAGGGGCACTCGACCACTGAGCCACATCCCCAGCCCTTTTTTGTATTTTATTTAGAGACAGGGACTCAACTGAGTTGCTTAGCATCTTGCTTTTTGCTGAGGCTGGCTTCAAACTTGCAATCCTCCTGCCTCCCTTTCCCGAGCTGCTGGGATTACAGGTTTGTGCCACCATACCCGGCCTCCCATGTTAACTTTTTATATCTTACTGATAGTCTGTGGGACACTGAGACCAGAGCTGGCAGACAGTGGTGGGGTTGGTGGCAAGAGAAGCAGTGGTAGATTTTCTTGGCCATAGGAGTTAGATGTGTGGACCCTGCATGCTCAGCCTTCAGTCCTGGTCTGATTAGGGGGTAAGAGCTTTGCCATTCCTGCAGAATGTACAGTCTTGGGTCTTAGGCTGTAAGTCAAGGGCTATCTTTATATGTTGTTTCCTTTGAGTAAACATCATTCATTGAACCTCTGCTGTGGCTCTTCACTATGTATCTTTTTCTCCTTCAATTTATTCATGTCAGGTTGGATTTGGTCCCGAGAGTCCCAAAAAGAAATAGCAAAAGAGAGAGAAGCATATCGCCAGAGAACAGTTGCCTTCCAGCAGGATCTTGAAGCCAAGTACCATGCTGTGATCTCGGAAAATCGACGTGCTGTTGCTCAGCTGTCTCTGGAACTTGAAAAGGAGCAAAACAGAACAACTAGTTACCGAGAAGCCCTTATCTCTCAGGGGCGGAAGTTGGTGGAAGAAAAGAAACTTCTGGAACGGGAATGGGCTAAGGTAATGCAAGAAAGAAGCCAGCTGCAGCCTCTGAGAAGTGTGTACCTGAGCCGTCTGGAGGAGGAGGAGGACTGGCAGAGGAAAGCCCGGCTCATGCTGAAGGAGGTTGGAGAGGCCCTTGCAGAAAGACAGAACATTTACTGCAGCCTGGTCACCCCCCGTCGCTCACGGCTGGAGCTGGAGAAGAACTTACTGGTGCGTGCCGCCGTCGACCCAGTGGCTGCTGACCTAGAGATGGCAGCTGGCTTGACTGACATATTCAAACATGACACCTACTGTGGTGACATCTGGAATAGCAACAAACGCCAGAATGGGAGGCTCATGTGGCTATATCTCAAGTATTGGGAGCTAGTCGTGGAGCTGAAGAAGTTCAAGAGAGTAGAGAAGGCCATACTAGAGAAGTGAGAGGAGTGAGGTGTCCACGGCCACCGGTTGCTTCTCATGACGTTTTCCCTGCTGAGCTCCCACACTTCCTTTGCTTGCTACCCGCATCCCCCACATGCAGCTGCCCTCAGTGGCATTCCAGCTCTGCCACCCTCAGCAGCAGTGAGGATTCGGCACATAAAGGTTTTCCCTGTGATGCTCAGCAGCTGTGAAGGGTTGCCTTTCTCTGAAGCATTTTGTGAGCCGCTAATATTTAGCAGAACAGTATAATGTCATTTTAGTTCGAGGGTAAAAATTGTTTTTAAAGGTCAAATATAATATTGATCCTCACCGTAAGTAATTTTCTGTGACTTTTCCTATCTTCCTAAATAAATTCTATCTTCTAGGATTATTTTTTTTCCTCCCCAGATTCCATTTAGCAGTCGTCAGGCAGTGGTGATGAGGGGTGTTGTAAGACCACGGAGGCTGTAAAACATTTGGAAGCTCTCATGCTCACAACAGGAAAAGCACCCAAGTGGTTCTCCTAGCCAGCAGGTGCCCCAGTATTTTGATAGCCACAGAGGCTATCAGAGCGTGGGGCAGGCCCACAGAGCCCATGTTCTGGAAGAGGCTGGGTGGACAGGTCCCAGCTCCTGGGGGATGGGAGGATCACTTCAGAGTGTTTTCTGTTGATCTGGGGTGTTGAAGGTACATGAGGTTGCAGGGCTTAAAATGAAGGAGTTGGTTGCGGGGTGGGTATTAGGATCTTGCTTCTCATTTTGCTTATTGCAGGCTGCTTTGCCTTGGAACAAAGTTAGAAGGTAATGATTGGCCTGGACCTTCTGAAACCTAAATGCACAGTGACAAGACTTTTGTACTTTCATCAAGTTAACCTATTTGGTGGAGAGGCCTTCCCCTTTTTAAAGCTCCTAGATAAAGAGGTATCTCAGTCACATATTCCATGTATGCATCTGTGTTATGCACCACTGATACAGTGACGATTTCATGGTGACAAGAAAATCTTTCTGCAGACATTGCAGCAGCAGAGACAAGTGGCAGGGGAAAGCCTCCCCAGAGAACCTGCATGATCTTTGGAATGCATGTCTAGTTGGAGAGTGTGACTGTTTCTGGGTCAGCTTAAAGTAGGGGGAGGCTTTCTAGCTGTAGCCTAAGTTGCACCAGTGTTTGATGTGATGAACACACTGAGCCCCAACATGCTCCAGCAAGCAGCTGCCTTCGTTCTCTGAGCAGCCCTTTGCTGTACTATGACCAGGACGGATTGCTGGGCAGAGCTGGGGTCACTCCCTCTGCCTGCTCCTTGAGAGGTCCTGTCTCTATTCTGGGCTTGATGAAGTAGTCCCTGTATTTCTCAGTTAGAATTCTGGTTGTAAGCAATAGCTTTATTCAAGCTGGCTTAGACTTGTAGAAGAAGATTTGCTTTAAGGGTGTCTCAGACCCAGGGCAAGAATGGAGAGTGCAGTTCAGACCTGGGAGGAGCTAGAAATGGCACCTGAGCAACTCTCAGGGACCTGCCTACTTCAGTCTGTTCCCTACAAAAGGCTCCTAAGGCCACACCCCATCCTGGACTGGCATACTGCGTGTCCCACTCAGGCCTTCAGAGAAGTTTGGGAGCCCTGGGTTATACAGTGCTGTGGCACTTGGATGGAGTGGGGACAGTGAAAGCCAGGCATCACAGAGTATGTGGCTTTTGTTAACAGGAAGTCTATGGTGACTCAAGGCATGGTGTAGAAGTCCTAGAGCTCTGCAGCAATGAAGGAAGCTCATCTCCCTTGCCCACCTCTGGCAGGAAAGGGTCTCGCTGTTGGGGTGACTGGATAGCAAAGGCATTAGGGCAGCTCCCAGACCCAAGGTGGCCTGAGGTCTGGGTAGGGTGCTTGGTCCCTTAGCCTGAATTGCAATCCCAGACTCAAGAGCCCTCATGTCAGCTCAGGCAGCCCTGCCCCAGTCAGGAAAGCACCTCCTTTACCTGGGAATCCTGCAGAGTGAGCCCCCAGGGTGCCTTGTTGGGCCTGCCTGGCTCATGTGGGTAACAGAACTGGTCAGCCAGAGAGGTACTGTGTTGGGGTGCTCATGCACAACTCTACATCAGTATTCTTCAAGTTCCTGGTTCTGAGCCCAACCCTGCTGGGATGGCCCCTTGAGGCTGGTCAGTGGCCAGCAGCTGAGTGGGGTGCTGGAGTCTCCTGGCTGCAGAAGCTTGCTTGTTGAACATGGGGTGTTGGCCCTACTGGTGAGGCCTCTGGCACGTGGCTGGGCCAGGGCTGACTCTGCTTGGTGGTGCCATAGGATGGGGCTCCAGACCGGCAGAAGCAGATTGGTAGGGGTGGCTATGGTAAGCATCAGGACCAAGTGGTAACCAGTGCCTTTATCCTGGAGCTGCTGCCAAGACTGGTAATCATGGGAGTTCAGGGTTGAGTGACAGCCAAGTAGAGCTCTCTCCACTCCTCATAATAGAGTTAGCTGGCCATGACAGAGGTCCATTGGTCTGTGGATATCTCCTTTGTCTCTGTATACTCAAGAAAGAACCCTTGCACGTATCCCAACATGTGGAACCAGCCATTAAGGTAGGAAGGGCCAAGTTGGAGTTCCCAGAACTGTTCCTCTGCCCTGCAGGATGATCATCAAGAAGCCCTGCTGCACTCCTAGGGGAACAGCAATGACCAGTCCCCCAGTGAGACCTAGGAATGCAAGGAGGTGAGCCCCACGCTGACCTCATTGGTGTCCCTGTTCCATTCGCTCATCTCGTCCTGGAGAGGCTAGCTGGATCATGGTGGGTGATAATGGCCCCCCAGAGCTTCACCAGGAGCTACACCAGCTACAGCTGCTATGTGTATGCACTGACTCCAATTTACACACTTACCTTGCAAATAGTAGATGCTGCTGGCCTTGGTAGATACCAGCTATGTGACCATAGATGCCGGGTGCCCACAGGCAGAGTCCCAATGTGAGGAAGGTGTGACCAAAGTCCATGGGTGCTGAGAGCACTGTCAGGCTGGGGTGGAGTTGGTCCAGAGGAGCAGGTGAGTCTCACACTTTGGGGACAGGTATGTACGGTTTAGAGCATTTGGACTGCTGCCTAGGAATGGATTTGGACCAGCATAGAGGGGGTGCTGTCCTGAATGTTTGCTGCCAGCAACTTCACCGCAGAGGCAGACTTCTGTGTGCCTGCCCCTACCCAGGTAATGGGCCATACCCTGGGCCCTTCTCCATACAGCCACACAAATGCAGGGCTCTCCTGGTCCAGCTAGCCATTGCACATGATTGGTTACAGTGCCACTAGAGGCTGAGTCTGTAGTCACGAAAATTCAGACACTCAAAATAATGAAAGTTACTCTGCTTTTTAGAGTCTGAATTTTTAAGTAATTTAAAAATTTTGCATGGTGCCTACTCTTTCTAAGAGCTTGCTGCAATTCACTCTATGTGCCCGAAACTTGATTGCAAAGAGACTGCCAGCGTGAACCTTTGCGGGTAAGGCACAGCCAAGCAGGCACAGAACGATTACTGTAGGGTGGGGTGAACACTTGGTGTCAGCTCACACTGAGACCCTGAGGAGGGACGCCTTGAGCAGGCAGCCCTGCGAGGCTCTCCTGCTGGGTCCCACCAGAAAGAACAGCCTGGGATACACCTGGAGCTCCAGACTGCAGAGCACCTGAGACGGAGATGCCCCTGGGGGAAGTGCTGCCAGGAGTGGTGCTCAGGTGGTACTGGGTCCAAGCTCTTGTCTGTGCCTCAAGGAAATATCTTATTTCCAAACTTTAAATCCTTTTAAAAGTCTTGAATTGCGGTGAAATAAGGACCATGGCTTGGTAACCACACTTATTTTATTAGCACTTATCATTCTAATTCTCAACTTTTGGTACAGAGTCAAGCTTAGTGGAAACCAACTCCACCTCTGGTGACAATCAGCCCCTTGGGGGCTAGGAGCCCAGGGCCATGGGCTTGGAGCCTGGCTGTTCAGGGAAAGTTAGGACTGGAGAAACCACAGGACATCCATAAATGCCACACTCTGTGTCCTGACCTACTGCTGAGGCCAGCACTCACTCAGATACAAAGCAAAGCAAGGACAGAGTTACTGATATCAGCCAGAAGCCGCTGCGTGCTCCTGGCCCTGTTGTGAGCAAACAAGCCTGGCTTGTCAACATGCTAGCCCCACAGACACATCTAGCATGCCCTGTGAGCCTCCTGCCGGGCACGCAGATTTGGTTTACCTTTGCTTTTCATCTCTTCATACAGTCTGCCATTTGAGAAAACTGGTGTTTTATGGGCTGCTTCTTTCTTTACACATGTTCTGTGACAAGTCCTCGTTTCCTTCGTCTTGCTGCCTCAGAGTCCAGTCGACCCTGCTCCTACGGCAGCCTGCCCTGGCACCCATTGCACCTCCACTCACTACCACATGTGCCTGCGTGGGGTCTTCACCAGGCTATAGGGTCTGCTGCCTGACCCAGGAGCACCCATGACACATCGTGAAGGCAGGGCTTCCTCTCCAAGGGCACCTAGCAGGCTCGTTTACCATTTTCATTAAGAACTGCTTTTGGTGGTGATGCTGGTGATGAATGTGCAGCCCAAGCCTCTGGCAATAGGACTGGCCCTGGGCACCCTGCAGGCTGAAATGCAAGACTGCCCTTGCCCTGGTGGAGCACCTACTCCACTTGTTTCAGTGCTCTGGAAAAGTTTTCTAAAGCAGTTTTGAAAGCTTGCAGCAAGAAGGTGCCGAGCTCATTGCTTGTTTCCTGGATGTCTGGGTCGAAACTTCCGAAGACAGGCGTGGAGGCCTCGATGTCCTCACGGTTGGCCCGCAAAAGCACCGCATGCAGCTCCTCAGCAATCGCATTGTACTTCTGCTGGTCGAATTTGGACACGGCCAGCTCGTCCTGGGGGTAGGCAGTGCCTTCGGGGTAGCAGTCCTTGGGCACTGGGAACTCAATACGCCGCAGCTCAGGCAGCTCGCAGAGCGCGGTGAAGAGGCGCTGGAGGGCCTGAGCAGATAGCGGGTTCCCTAGGAACCGGAACTCCTGCAGCTGGCGGCAGGGGCTCAGGCCCAGGATCAGCATGCCCACGTGGCTGTCTGCGATGCTGCATTCCTCCAGGGTCAGCGCCCTCAGTGTCTGGGAGGCCCGGCGGAGCAGTCTAAAGAAGGTTGAGGGGTACAGGTGCACCAGGTTGTGTCCACTGAGGTCCAGCACTTCCAGGTGGGCAGCATGTGCACAGTCTGCCAAGAAAGCCATGTCGGCGTGGTTCAGGGCACAGTTAGCCAGGTCCAGTGCTCGCAGTGGGGTTCTGAGGGGGCTGAGGGACAGGCAGAAAGCAACACAGGTAACAGCAGTGTTTCAGGTGAGCTGGGGTTTAAGTGTAGGTGACAATCCACTTGTTTCTCTATCACAAATTGCCTCC